GTCATTGTTGTTTGGCGGGCCCGGGCTGGGTTCAAACCCGCCACCTTGGGTGTACATGGCTGGCGCCTTAGCCACTTGAGCCACAGGTGCTGAGCCAAAAACACAGTATTGATTATAAAAGTAGCAATTGTATAGGATTGCTGTGAGAAGTAAATAATAATTCACGTAAAACACTTAGCACGGTTCATGAAAAGCAGTAGTAAGTGCTCAAGAAAAGCAAAAAAAAAAAAAATCTATCCTCTATGATTACAACAGCCACCACCATGATTATCACCAGTTCCAGTAAACCTATAAGTTGGTTTCAGTATACCTCAGATGTTTAACAATATCTAAACTTGTAAGTAGATTATCACATTAAAATCTAATATTTCTAACACAATGGTAACCTACTCAGTATAGTTTTTAAAATTTTAAATTTAAAATTTTAACTTAAAAAATTCCATGTACATTCATTTAAACAAATCCAACATATAAAAATGAGTATTCACAAAAAACAAAAATAGGTTAGGAGATGACTATTTGTTTTAAAGTAATCATCCCCAATTCCCTTTACATAATAAATATGGTTTAGCTGTATCTAAACTATGATTAAAATCACACACATACACCTGCACACGAAGCACAACCACAAAGCTGAATATGTATTAATTCCATTCTATTCTAACTGTTCTTCCTAATAGAAACTCTAAGTTTTAGTATGCATTTGTTAAACTGTCACCAAATCTGGAAGAGAATCATCACCTCTCATTCTCCAACACCTTCCAAAGGCCAAATGCTCACTGGGGTACTGGTTTCCACCATGGTACCAACTTGTTCTCCACTAATTATCATTTTGTTCTCACTGCATGTGTCAAACTGAGGAAACATGTAGACTTAGCATCACACTTTCACCTTTAAAGTTCTGGCATGAAAACCTTCAAGATTGCAAAATTCAAAGGTCTTTAAAAAGTTGCCTCTTTGCCTTCTCAAAGTTCTTGTTATTCTGATTGTCAAGATAAATCAGTCCTGCCACAACCAGGTAGCCACTGCCAAAAGGCACTCAACCATCTTATAGCAAACAAAAAACTGTTAGCTGTGGTTAAGTGATACATCCTGTTTCTGGATGTATGACTGTTCATCAACAGGTTAATTTGCATAGCCATTCAAGCCTTTTAGATAACATCAATTAAGATACAGCAGTCAATTCTAAAAGATTTCAGCATCTATATATTATTAATATTTGATTTAACCATCTCAATTTCCCTTGACTAGCAATGAAATGAAAATAGTGCAAACAGCTACCTACTTTCAAATCCAAATACTTCGGATACTATCCAGCAAATAGAATAAAAAAAGAAGGAAAATATTTCCAGAGACTATCATATATTTTTCAGAAGAACACAAAGTTTAAACAACTTTTCAGGATGCTTACAGAATTTCTCAGTGGATCTCAAATTTAAAATTAAATCAAGAATGTATAAAATTGGAAAGTAAAAAATGTTCTATCTTTGTTCAAGAAAAATTTTCCCTACTTATAGGGGAAAAGAATGTGTAAAATGACTATGCTGGATGAATTACACTCACGAAGATCAGTTTTTCTTAACAATACTTTTTGCTCCAAAAAATAAACACCAGCACTAGCGGGGTCAAAATTTAAATTCAGCCAGTTAAGTTGTTATTGAATTTTAAAAATATTTTCTTGAGCTATGACATGCTAAAAGGTTATAAATATAAGCATTTTATTCTAAGTTTTTTGCACAATGATCCACATTTCAGTGATTCACACTGTAAGTCACAGACATCTCACTGTAACAACCACCTCAACCTTGTAGCCAGGCAAGCTTCCCAGGCCAGAGTCTTCACTTTCACTCTCTCACCCATTTCATCTCTCCCACCCCTCCATTCTGGTTAAATTCAATCAACCAAGCAATGGGGCAAAAAATAGGCATATTTATTTTGAATATTTTCACATGGTCCTCATTTGTTTGCCACATGCAGTCCCCAGGCCTAGATTAAAAAAGGTTCAACAAAGTGACTTTACAAAGTCCAAGTTCTCTTGTGCATTGGACATGGGAGCAGGGAGGATTCCCTCAAACATTTACGGCTTTTATTGTGTTTAATGTATAAGATGATGTGTTGATGAATACACCCCTGTGAAACTATCACTATCAATGCCGTGACCTCCAAAAGTTCTCCTCCCACCCCCTTTGTTGTTTGTTTTTGTTGTTTCCTTTTAAGGAACACTTAATATAAAATCTACCTTCTTAGGAAATTCTTAACTATGCAATACAATATTGTTAATCATATGCCCTATGTTGTACATCTCCAGATCTTACTTATTTTGCATAACTGATACTTTGTACAGGACATCAGCTTTTTTTTTTTTTTCAGTTTCTATACACCCCTTTGTTGTGAACCATAGCGTTCTGTCTGAGCTGACGATCACTTCCTGCCCGCTTCTTCACCCCAGTGGTGGGCATCTGATTCAGGTCGGCCAGAGAAAACCATCCACTGTGTCTGTGTGG